TTAAAAGATATTTTAAAGGGAATAATTTTAATGTCATCAAATTCTAGTAAGAAAAGACTAATGTATATTTTTTAAATTGAATAATTAAAATAATTAGTTCTTTATATAAAACATCTCCTATTTTCCCACTAGAGTGGTATACATATCTCTACCTCATTACATTATTATGAATTTTCTCATTTAAATACTGGCAAGAGTTTTAGTTCTTTATATGTTTTATTAAAAATATAAGCAATTTAATATTTTTGTGTATTTGGTCTGCCAAAAGAAAAAGAGGAAATGTATTCATGAGATATAATGAACTGAGCTATTAAAGTAAACAACTATGATTTTTGGCTGTGTTAATGAAGTCATTTCATTCCTCTTTGTTTCATCCCCTAAAATAATTTTTTACAATTATCTAATCTTTTACAGATGTTTGGACACAAAATAATAACAACAACACGAAAACAATTAGCCAGTATTACACCATAATTTTGAAGAATGGAGGAAGTCCAAAGTGTAATAATGTTTTTCTTCTTTCTAAAGAAACTTAGTGATGGAAAAATAAAAAACAAAAACAGAAAAAAATATTAACCTACATATCTGTTTAATTCTATTTGTTTTATTTTAATTCTGTTTGTTTGCATGTCTCTTCACAAATGCTCTTACAATCTTTTTGAACTTTAAATGTCATTTAAGTTGTCTCATGTTTACAGACATGAATACACACATGCCAAGGAATCAGATGAACAGAAGAGTTCTGGTTATGTCGTTATCTACTAGGCTTTGTTTGTCTTTCCATCCTCTGCCTTAACCACTGCCTGGCTTGATGCTTTTCCTATGGAACTCTCTCACACATGTGTTAATGACTTGATGATTCTTACATAATGTCTTATATAATAATTTACGTGTGGCAGATATATAAAGTGATTCATTCAGTAATTTCACAGCAGTCTCCCATGAAATGCTATAAGGCTATTTAAACTAATGCTGTGCTTCATTCAGCATTAGATTTTGCCAACAAATAGAAATTTTGATTGTTAATTTCCCCAAAGCACTTGAGGAAAATGCTTTTGATAAACACATCCATCCATTTTCTTATCGTTAGATGTGATGGGTCTTTCCATATTAATGGCTTTATCTGCCTTCCTAGAAGTCATTGCCTGTGGTGCACTAAAATACATACATTTCAAAGCTCTTAATGGAACTGGTGTTACTTTTGTGTGGAAGTGACTGAAACCTGGTAACAAACTAGAGTAGCTATTTATCATTTTTCTAAGAATTTTTGAAGAAATATATGTTGGTTAAAGACAATAAACAAAACAGAAAGTGTTATCCAGAATATGTTTTTATCACTGAGTTCCTTTAGGAACTCTATAATAATGAAAAACACATTATTATACTTCGTGCCTCCTTCATTTTTCAAAATCATGATGTAGTGCTGGACAGTTTTTTTTAATCTAATGCTTTTATGATTTTGGTCTCTTATTTTTGCTGAATTTTTGATTCTTTGCCTTCATTACATAGTATATATATGTATATTTTTTTCTCAATTAAATTGTAAGTATTTTAAGGGCAGTAAAAGAATTTCTGAATACTGCTTTTGAACCCCTTGTATATCTGAACTCAAGATGTATTGAATTCAATTTAATATTTTCTGTAATTTGTCCTTGGACTTCAGATTAAGTTTTGTAGAATGGGGTAAAGATGCAATGAAGATTGAAAACTTTCATCAGCGCATTGTCTTGGGAGCCTTGTAACCAGGGGTGCAATCTTGGTCCTGGTATTTTTTGAGTGTGAGTTCTAAAATTCTAGTTACAGTTCCTGTCATCAACATAATGTAGCTGTTTACAAACATTGCTCAGTGAGGATTTATTAGGTACAGTTTGCATACCGAGAGACTGAAGTTTTCAGTCATCCTTCCCATCCCATCTGGGCTCTGCACATTACATATTATTCTTTCTATCCTCTCCTACCGAGTTTTGCCCCTCTTTTTCTGAGTACCTATGTAGGAGAGTTCTCAGTACCTTAAAAATAACCTTTCATCTGCCCCTGCCTCTGCTTCTCCCTACTTTTCACACGCATAACCATTTTATTTCCGCTGCTGCTTTTGGCAGTGTGAACTCAGGCTTGGGGTTTTTTCTCCCCTTAAACTTTAACACTGAATCTGACTCTAGATTTTCAATCTCACTGGCTCTCAGATCAGTGTCTTCCTCTCCATTTTTACTACTCCTTCCTCTGCCACATTTGTCACAGCACAGCAGGGCTGCTCCTAGCTCCTTAGAGTGTGTGTGAAGGACTCCAGCTGCCGCATCCCTCTTGTGCCCCTGCCATTCTTCCCTGTGTGCAGTCAGGGCTCCATACAACCTGACTCCCATTATAATAAGAACAGCCACTTGTCTACAACTTACCCACAGCCGCGATGTTTTATGCATAGTAGCTTTACTTAATAGTTCTCATAACAACCCTAGATTTCAAATAACACTGTAGGCGAGAAAATGACGTCAATAGCTGTCTCTAAATCTTCCTTCCACCCTAACCATGGTATGCCCATCTGGGAATGGATTTGTTAGGTGCTAGACCTTGGTTTAGTCACCTGCTGCTCGTCCTTACTCTGCTCTTCCAGCATCTAGTCCTGTATCCATTTCATTCTTCAGGAAGGTGTGCTCACCAGTCAGAAACCAACTAAATTCCAAAGTTCTGTGGAGTTCTGCATTCCTCAACCACCTCATGGGCTGCTTATGAAGTGAGGCCAGTTTTTACATACATCCTCATCTCTCCAAGAATGGCATGCACTTGGCCCAGGGCCTTTACTGGGTCCTCCCACTCCACTACATTTTCTCTCTTTACTTGCTTTTAAGAATTTACACGCAGTACTTATCCCTCTTTGTGATGTCAGTAGACTTAGGCATGACTGTCCATCTTAAACAAATTTCTCTTCCAGTGGTCTCATTGCAATTTGTTTGCTTTAAAAGTTCTTGCTGTTTTTCAAATAGGCTGTGTATATTTACAAATGCATCCTCAAGGTGCTCATCAACGTTACACCTGGAAGAAACATCCAGAATTATCACTGAAGTCTGCACACCTACACCAGAACACACAGAGAACAGAGTTAACCAAGTTAGAGGGCTGCAAAACTGCGAAGAACTGCACGATGTGCAAATGTGGGAAATGAAAAGTAGCAGGAACAGAGGGGAAAAAATAAATATGTAAAACAAGAAAACTACATTCTTTTGAAGAAAAGGACTACTGATCGAAGCTATGAGGATTAGGAAGCTTAGAATTTAGTATCCCGGGACTGGCTTTCCCTGCTCTGCCTTTAGTCTTGCCGGGAAGTTTCTTACCTAGACTGAGTGAACGTCCTTCAGTCCGCCAGGGCCTAATTCAAATCCTAACAGTTTAGCATTTTCCCCGTGTATTTTATTCAGGGCAAAATATTCATAGGAATCACTTGCAAGGGTCAGCTTCATTTCATGATAATTTAAGTATCACGCCAGAAGTTTAAGATGTGCCCGTTATGACCCCAAGTTTCAATCTCCCCGAGCTAGGCTGAATTTTAACATTTGCCACAGTTGTACCTTGAAGACAGCGTAATTACACAGGTTACAACCCTCACCGCATTTACGGAGGTGCAGGCAAGGAGGTACAATTATTTATTCTTTCTGTTTCCTTTATTAAAATAGAATTAAAATGTCTCTACTTCGGTAACATCGCTTCCCTGTATCCCCCTGGAGGGAGCCGCGATTCATTTCTGTACTCCGATTCTTCTGTACCCCAAGTTGAAAACAGTGCCCCGACCTTTGAAATCCTGCTTTTATATACAAAGGTCCAAGCTGGAGCCCATCCTTCCCCACGCTTTCCAGGCGCCTGCAGGGCGGAGCCGCCCGCCCCGCCCCGCCTTTCCCAGGTGCGCAGCCCGCGCTCAGGCCCGGCCCGCCGAGCCCGGTGTCGGGACTTGCCGGGCCCTGCAGCCCGCGGGCGGGCTGGGGAGAGAGGCTGCTTTACACCTCGCCGGAGGACCGGACGGCCGGGGTTCGAGTTCAGGGAGGCTCCGGTGGGACCTGCTCCGAGCGGCGCGCAGGTGAGTCCCGCCCCGTCCCTCGCTCTCCGAGTCCTCCGCGGCGACTCGGGCGCCCCTTCCCGGAGCGAACCCGCGCGGCGGTGAGTGGGGCGCGGGTCGGGTCGGTCCTTCCTCTGCTCCTCCCGGCCTCCTGGTGCTGCGAGCGCGCCCAGAAGTTTGCAAAGTTTGGTCTGGGCAGGGCGGGCGGGGTTTGGCCGGGAACGGGGACTAGAGCTGCTCCCGGGTGTCCGGTTCGGTTCCCTGGGGAGGAGGGCTGGGTCCCAGGGAAGGGGCAGCTCAGACGAGAGACGCGGGTGTTCCGTAATCTCGGGTCAGAGAGGAACGCTAGCGAGAAGACTGTCTTTCAACGCCTAGCTCGCATGTGTGCGGCCCCGCTTCTGGGGCGGGGTGGTGGAGACCAGCGTGTTCCAACTGGAGTTGGCCTGGGCCTGGGTCGCGTCGTGGGTTCGCGCCCCAGGCGACTCTGGTGAGCTCCAAGCTGGAGAGCCACTGCTCTAGGGAGCGGTGACCTTACGGGACAGCGACACCAGGTCTGTCCCGGGAAGGGACTTGGAGCTGGGTAGGGTGGGGTGTGTGTGACAGAGTGTCAGACGCTGGAGTCCGGGGCATATGGAGACCACAGTGCTCTACTGGGAGACACTGGGAGGTTTTGGAGCCCAGGGGTCCGGTTGGCTCTTCTGGGCGCGCTAGGGGTACGAGTGAGTTCCAGGGTGCAGAAGCGGAGATGAGAACTGCTCCGACCGAACACTTGGAAAAGGCACGCTGGCCCCGGCAGGCAAAGCGAAATTATAAGGTTCAGCAACCTATTTCCAAATTCGGCTTGCTAAATACCTCCAGGTTCCTGGCAGGCACCGCCCTTTTTTCCCTTTCTGATCCCAACAAGCACCAGGAAATCTATGACTGATGCTGAATCAGTGCTGAGCAGCAGTTGGAAATGGGGCAGGCGACGAAAGGGAACATGGAAGAGAAAGTTAGCCTTTTAGTTTCTGAGGGACTTGTTCTTTATTTCGTTTCTCCCCGTCTTCTTCATAGTTTCCAGAATAGTAGAAGGCCCCCGCACCTGCACCTCCAGATCCACATTCCCCTGCCTTGGTTTTGTGGCTGGGGCACACGTTGTGCACATCCCTTAGGTTGCTGGCTGCTCCCCGCGAGCCTGCCTTAGGGAATGGGTGGAGGCTGGTAGGCTCTAGACCGCAGGTGCCCAGGATTCAGTGTGGGAAGCTTCTCCAGTTGAACAGTCGCTGAAAGGGATTTCGTACATGGAAAGAGACCGTGCCTCTGCTGCTGACTCAGTGAGTCTGTGTTATGCTCCCAAATTTATTACTTTTAGAGGTGAATTAACTTTTATTACTCTTTCTAGTACATCTCCTCCTATTATCTCAGCCCCTCACAGTTTACAGTGGAGGTGCATTCACTGAGTTTATCCATAACCGTGACTTGCCTTGCAGCAGCTCACCCTGTGTCCCATTCACTGACATTAGACAGTAAGGTGTAACTTCGCTGTGCATTTATGTCTGCAGAGTCTTGTGGTGAAACTGTGATCCCGGGAAAGCTGGTGTCTTCTGAAACTCCTCTGGTTGGAGGAGGCCCGTTTGGCTTAATTTGACTAATTATTTATAAAATTACAAGTTGTCCTTGTCTAGCTAGTCAGGTAACTTTGCAGGTTTGTTCTTTGGTAACTTGCAAAGTGTAAGTGTCCCAGGGATGTTTCTCAGTTCAGATCTGTTCAGCACAATGTTGTTGTTAACTCTGAAATGTACTTTTGTTCACCTGGTTTCTAATCTGGAAATTTTAGAACTTTTATTTTAGAACTTTTTTGGTGAATGTATCATTGGGAAATCAGAATACATCCCTCCTCCTCATGGAAACAGAATTCTCAGCAATGCCCAACAAGGGTGCTGTTGATAAACCTTTGTACAAATAGTACTTTAACAACTAAGGCCACTGACATGTCTCTGAGAAAGTATATTAGAGCCTTCAGAGGGAATTCCTTCCCCTTGAGGTGGGTGGGCTGGTGGGCACAGGCTCTGTCTTGATGTAGCCCAGCCCACAGGGGTAGAACAGGTTTTTCAGGGATGTGGGCAGTGCCAGTCACTGGCAGGCTGAGTGCTGGGTCAGCTGAGCGAAGAGGTGGGGGACATGGGAGGTCCCCAGGGTGGAGTGTGTGTGGAGGTGTATGGACAGGTTGGCTCCAGATTACTGAGGAATCAAGAGGCCTGGAGTGTACAGGAGGCATGTATAGGAGGCCTGTCCTGTACAGGAGATAGGGGTGTGGGTCAGGTAGGCAAAGGGTGTTCTCAGTGTTCATGACTCTGAGGACCATGAGTTGGGGTGGAGAGATGAGCTATATATAAGTCATGGTCATGGGACATGTCTATCTTGGGAAGTTGTTCAATTATATGATCATGGATGATGTGGGGCAACTTTTTCTCTGAGGGACACCTACTCTTACTACCCAATTTGTATTGTGTTACTTTTTACACTGTTCTTAGAAGTGGGGTTAGTCATCTCCTAAGGGGAATGGGCATTTTATTTTGAACTGTGTGTCCAGTAATTTGTAGACTACACACTGCTGGGAAGATAAACAGTAACGGTCAGCCTGTTTTGAATTCTAGCATAGGGTCAGGTGTAATCACCATGCTACTGACAGGGGCCTTTTTTAAAGCACTTACACAAAAGTGTTGCAGTTATGGTGACATCTAATGGTATAACTAATGCTATTTTACATTATCCATTCATTAAACATTCACCATTATGTTCCAAACAAGATACTATTCATGTACCTGCACCTTGAAACCATATTGGTAAGTGAAATAAATCAGATACATAAATTCAAACAACACATGGTTTCTCTTACATGAAAAAGCAAGAGTATAAATAATTTAAAGAGCAAAATAAACGATAGGAAACAGAAAACAGGAAGATAGATTCTTCACAAATGGAAAGGGATCCAGAGATGAAGGGAGGGGGAGGAGGGAAGGGAAAGGGGAAGTATGAAGAATCAAGATGTGTCATGTTAACACACCAACTCCCTTCAATGAATTGAATCATTATGTACAGAAAACATGTGCTAATAAAAATAAAGAAGCTTGTGACTAAAAGTAATTGTAAATGCATACAGAAATGAATAGATCAGATTCATTGATTTCCTTTATAGTCTCTGAAGGCCCTCAGGGATATTGAAAGTTTTCATTAATCATTTGTGAAGTTGAACATCAGCAGATGTAGAGTTTGGACAAAGTGCTTGAATTCTCTTGGCCCCTCAGGTTTTCCCACTGGCATTATGAAATGTTTGAATTGTGTGATCACTCCCTTGTCCCACCTTGCTCTGAAATTCTTTTGAGATTGCTTCTGATTGAGGGAACCATAAAATAATGGTAACTAAGGTCTCCCTGTAGTATCCTTGGGAATCTCATTGTTTCCACTTTTATTGTCAGCTTTTCATTTCAAAGGGTTTTGGTTCTCTATTTAACATCAGATTGCTTTTCTGATTGTATAAACATTACTCACTTGAGAAAGAAAAGGCAGCTTTGAAAGCAGGAAAGACTGATGTCTTCAACCCGTGGCTGGACTGTAGTCTTTCACCATGGGACATTTGTCTGAGCTGTCTTTTATAAACGTGTAGAGGCAGTGCCACCTTTAAGCCTCAACAGCACATTGCTCTAGATACTTAGTCTCCTCTGACTCATTTATCACTGTTTCCTGATGTTTTAAAAGAATTGTGTGTTCCTCAAATAATAATAGAGCTTTTAATTATTTTCTAGAGAAGGGTGCAATATGTTTTTTGAGTACTGACAATTTGCCCTGTGATTTTCTTTTCAATCTTAACTCTTCTTTTGTCTTTCTTACCCTTGTCTTACCTTTTCTAGTGCTTTTTGGTTCCTTCTCCTTCCTTTCCTTTTTTATGCTTTTCTTCTCTTCCCACACTTGTTTTTCTTTCTCTACACTCTTGTTCTGCTTCTTCCACCTTGTTTTCTTTTTCTACCCGTTCAATTTTTCCTTGTATTTCCTATTTCTGTTTCTCCATCTGTTCACTTATTTATTGTTCATTATTATTTCTGTCATCTCTACAATGAAGTTCTACTTTAATACATTGTATGTTTCTAAGCATCTAAAAGTCATATATGAGTCAAATAAACATATATCACACAGGGAATTTTATTCTTACCAGCTGAAATATATCATAAATTAACTTTAAATGTTAAATGCAATAGTCAAAAATACACTTCTAGCATTTTATATACTAAAAAAAATTCCTTTCTTTCCCAATAGAACATGTGTACAATGAACATTTGATTAAAACTAAAAATTTGTTTGTTTTGGTAGGGCTAATCAGTTCCATCTTTGCTTTAGTTATATCCATCTTATGAGATAAACATCACTAAAATCAAGACCTTTGTTTTTCTATTTCTCGAGAATTTAGAAGTTCAAATTACATTTGTTATATGCAAATAAATGTATCAATAAGACATTAAAAAGCAAGAAAAGATATTATATGATATCTTACTGGTGTGCAATAAGTTGAAATATTTAGAAGTTGATGGACTGAAGACTAGAATTGTCACAGAAAAATTAAATTGAGAGTTAGGGTTTATGTAGAAAAGTCCAGGGTGTTCATAGGTCAAAAGTAGGTGGCCACTTCTACATATAATTGAATTTCCTTTTTTAAAAAACATTCTCAGCAGGAAAACAGTACTGAAGAAAATTAAAATTGCAGAATATATCTACAGCTCCTATATCTGCTATGTTGAGTAAAAATATCACTCCCTATACATTGAAAGTAATAAAAAAAAGCACCTTATTGCAAAAAGATCAATTTGTATAGTACCAGGCCAATTCATGTACATTCAAATTTAAATACATTCTCTGAGAATCACTCACACTTGATTCATAATCAAAGCCATTAATGAGTCCTGTTAAGAGCATAGGATTTTGAAACTATTTGAAAGTCTGTTTATACAGTTGAATTTTTCCTACTTGGCATGTTAAATCTTGTGTGTAGACAACTTAGAATAAAAAAAAAAATCTAGAGAAAAAGAGTAAAAACTTTCCAAGGTCATTGGATCCAAAATGTGCTTCCAGAAAGCTGAGCCAGGAGTCCTGGAGCATCCTAAGTAGGTGTGTGGCTCTATCGCTCACAACCAACTCTATAAAGTCATTGATGATTTGAGTTAGAGAACTAATCCTTTTTAAAAATATAACAACATAGTGATACCCTCCTCCAAATCAATTTATTTCATGTACATTTTGTGTTCATCATTTTCTTGGTTTGTATAGCAGGTGATTAAAACTAAAGTCAACAGACTGTTTTAGATCCCATAATCAAGATGGCATGTGGGATGAATGCCAAGGCATATTTATTCATGTGATGGTGTAGGGATTGCTAAGTACTAGCCACATCCCTTTGGAGAAAGCTAAATTGAGAGACAAAGAGAGGAGCCTTGTCTTTGAAATAGATTTCAACTTTAAACTGCAGGGGAGTAGAAAAAGCAGTATTCACTTCCCTGTCCACACATTTGGACACCCAAGTAAGCTTGCACAGCTGCAATAAGATGTCATTCTGTCCCCTTCTCCTTCCCAATTACACTGACATGGGACAAATGAAAGGGAAACAGATGACCTGCCAGGTGTGCTATGTGTTCAGGGGTGGTTTAGACACCTGTGACAGAGGCCTGTAAATTCCGGTATTGTGACTTACCTCACAGTCTCCCAGCCTCTTGCTACTGTCCAGAGCCCAGCTTGCTGTCCATCTTAATCCACAGGACCTGCTAATCTCTCTGTATGAATTGAGTAGCAGTGTACATGTTTAAAAGATATATTTATTTGTCCCTTATTTATTAACATTCATGTGTGTAAGTGTTCGAAAACAAATGAGAAAAGCCAGGGAAGACAGTTCTTTGGAACAGAATGGAAGATCTCATTAAGGTTGAGAGTTTCTGGAGGAAAAATAAAAGGAAAGACAATTTTATTACAATTATGAAATAGTTATCTCGGCAAGCTTGATTAAAAGTGAGTCCCAAAGAAAACAACTAATGAAGAATTGATTGATACTGGGATTACTTTAGCTATTCTGATTATATATATATTTTTTCCTCAGGTTAAAAGTAAAATCTTTTCACACTAAATATACTATTAACATTTAATATTTTTTGGCACTCTAAATGAATTTGTCTCCACTTATAAAACTTCAACAAAATTATTCCTGTTTTTAGACTTCTTTTTAGCAGTCTGAAATTCCTTTTAAACAACCACATATACTTTGTCTTTTGAGACCAGTTTGCTTAAGACTATTAATTGCAGACTTTCACTTTTGCAGAGATGCAGCGCCCTGC